CTTTCTCAAGTAAGGAGACCAAAACTGCACACAGTACTCCAGGTGTGGCCTCACCAGCACCTTGTACAGCTGCAACATAACCTCTCTGCTTTTAATTTCAATCCCTTTAGCAATGAAGGACAAAATTCCACTTGCCTTCCTAATTACTTGTTGTACCTGCAGACCTACCTTCTGTGATTCATGCACAAGGACACCCAGGTCCCTCTGCATAGCAGCATGCTTTATCCATCTTCTATCCGCCTCCCCCTCTCTCCCCATTTATTTCAGAATCCCCTTCCCCTCCCCCATTTCTGAAGAAGGGTCTAGACCCGAAACGTCAGCTTTCCTGCTCCTCTGACGCTGCTTGGCCTACTGTGTTCATCCAGCTCTACACCTTTGTTATCTCATTAATTGTTTGTTAGGTTTGATAATGATTCTGGCAGAGAAGCATGAAACTGTTAAACATTTGATAGCCAATAGATCTTGGTGCTATCACAACCTTATAATACTCTCTTCTGTACCTATTTTGTCAAGAGTTTTGCAGGAAAAGCAGTCAAGTGTTAATGTAGGTAGTTATTCAAGTCTTAGCAAGCTAACACCCTGTGCTTGGTGACTTTTAAAAGTTTCAGTAAAACTTCTGTCACGTGAGGAAAAGAACTGTGCGAGAATATCACAATCAATGGCATTTCAGAATTAAAGCTTGTTTGACACCTCTCTGGAAGAAAAATGCCTCTTCCAACAATATACTGATAAGATTCCCTTTCTTGATCTTCTTACCATTCAAAGTTCATAATTTGGAGCAAAGACATTTTATAGCTCACCTGTTTTATCCTCGGTCAAATTTTGTTTGAAAATGTGTTAAGGCTATTATGCAATGTGAAGAACAAGAATGGGATATTTAGACTGAAGCAAAGAGAATGAAAAGTCTCTCCAAACTTTTTACAAGATTTTTATTGACCACTGATACTGATACCACTGATACTAGTGTGCTCACTGTAAGCAGTGGGGATTGTACATTGAAAACACGTATTGGATTACATAGTGAAGAATCAGCTGTATATTTCTCAGGTTATTTACTGACGGGCGATTGAAACTCTATATATAAAAGTCTTGTAATCAAAAAATATATTTTCTAAAAGCATATTTCAATGTATTTGATTCTTAGCGTATAGGTGCTGGTATTTTAAAAGCCTTAAATTACTCTTCAGAGATGATGGAAAATGAAGAATCCAAGAAAACCATGAAAGGTAATTTCATAGTATCGCCACTTACTTTGAATATAGAGAATAGGGAGACTCTACCTGTAACTCAGTAGGTAAGTGCACTGCCTGGGGTACTGTTGAGCAATATAAATCAAAGGGAATGTTGAATGGGTGGCAGAGCTACTGTAGATAGTCTAGAGGTTCTGAGGTGTGGTGAGGGAGAGATGGAAGACCAGAGTTCTAGTTTTTATGGGGTGATCCTGAATTAAGAGTAAACATAGGTAAAACTGTGAAGCTCGAGAGATTCAATTGGATAAAGCTGACCATCATGTTAAAAGGACCGTTCATGCCTCTGGGTCTATTCTGAGGCAGAAACACAAGAGAAAGTGAGAATTTTGAAGGAAATTTGTCGATAACCTTTTGAAGGAATATGTGGGGACCCTAACCACAGTTTACAGTTGTACCTAGAGCCATGGGCCAATAGGACTGGTAATATTTTGAGCTATTATTCAAATTTGTGATCACATCAAAACTAGCAGAATGTGCAGCACAGAAAACCATTGCTCCTGATTTTATCATTACAACTGGTGTTGGTTTGGATAGCACGTCACTGGAGCTACAGTATTAGTACATTGTTTGAATACCGTACTAACCGCACATATAAAGAATTCAGACCAACATTGTTTTAGGAAACTTGTAAATTTTCTGTTGACATATTAGGTAAGTACAGCATACAGTTTGGCCTTCTGAAAGACTTGACCCTCTTCTAGTGAAAGAGAGACGTTCCTTGCATTCATCTATTTCTGCGAACCTGTTTTACACTCATTCTGATAATGAGTTTGTGTTTCAGTTTGAGTTATCAGTACAGCAGCATGATTTGTAGGTAGCTTAATTGAGCTTTGAAAAAGGTTCTCCTTCAGCACAGAGATATTTTGTTCTACTGTTTAGTAACAAATATGTGGGTACATTCAGGGCATTTGGTCTATTTGAGTATTAAACAGGTATACTTTCTTATGGCTTTTTCTTTACTCTTTTGTGGACTGTAGACATCACTAGCAAGGCCAACATTTGTTGCCCATTCTTGTTTGTCCTTGAGGTTGTGAACCTCTGTATCTGGTTTGACTTTTCTGTAGTGTTTTAGAACATCTGTTTGTCTTGCTCGGCTATCACATTGGGCAATTAAATGTTAATAATGGGTCAGACCAGGTAAGAATGGCAAATAGATGTCCTTCCCCAAAGGTGCTTTTACAACATTTGCCATTACTGAAACTAATTTTGAATTCTGTATTTATTAATCAATTGAATTTTATATCTAGTTTTAAGTTCCACCAGCTGCCATGTTGGTATTTGAACTCTACCCTAGAGTGTTAACCAGGTCTCTGAATTACAAGTCCAGTGATGTTACTGTTATATCATCAGTGTTCTGCTCCCACCATTATAAGGGTCTTAAATTTTGGTATTAATAATAAATATTCAGTATCAGCAATTGTGAATTCCTTGGCTAAAGCTCTGAATTACATGTAAAGATTTTTCAGAATTATTGGGTGATATTCATGTTAACTGTCAAGTCACCACAGTCCCAGATTACTATCGGCTGCTCTCTCATTAAAAGGAGACGACTGGTAGTGACTTTAACCTGAGGGTTTCCATGCCTTGAGAGGGGTGAGATTGAGAAGGGAGCCTTCATAGTCTAAGCCAGTGCCTTTTGAATCCATGTTTTTGGCCTCACTCTGCATCACAAACCAACAGTCTAATCGAATGAGCTAATGACAGGCATTGCCGATGACAATTTTTACCCAGCTCTCTAGCAGCCTCTTGTGGCTGCAGGCATACTTCTGCAGTATTGAAAGGGCCTGTTCTTCGTTTTAGCCACAAGGTAAGAAGTAATTCTATGCTTGATCATGCAAAATGATTTACATTTGGATTTTCTCCTTTATACTAGCATATGAAAAAGAGGGGTCCATGCTGAACTTCGTTGACCGGGTGTTTGGTGGCACAATGACAAGTACAATCATGTGTGAGGAGTGTAAAATGGTGAGAGATCGACAGGAATCAATCGAAGAATGGGTACAAAATGTTGATGGCAGAGAATAACTTTGTAATGATCATGTTATATATAAGGGATGTAAAATAGTTCAGTATTGTATATGATGTATAATTTTGGTTAAATTAACGTGTAAGTAAATTGTTTTGCCTCAGTATGCTGAACTAGTTTTTCCCTCTCCTTCGGTCTTGTGATGCTGACTTCTTGTTACTTACAATTCCATAGTGCCAGGTATCATCTAATACTTTAACTAAATGCTTTCACTTTCATTAGGATGTTAACTGGATATAGGAGCATCATATCTAAGTCCAATCCTAATGTCAGCACCAATGGACATCGACTAAGGAACCTGAGTGCTTTTCATTTTTCCAACTCATGGGCTCTTAGGCAAATTGTAGCACTTCCACTTGAGCTGACTGAGGCCAACCAATTAAAAAGAGGTTTGCAATCAAACCTTGGATTTTGTGAATTTATATGGTACAGCGACCCAATACAGAACACTCAAGCTCCTGTCTTACTCCTCAAATCCCTAAGTTGAATAGAAACTGTCATTGTTTACTGTCTCTGTCTAGTACACAGTTGTGCAATGATGATTAAATTTTGACAGGCAATTTGTGTCCATTTGTTAAACTATTTTATGCGTAAGAAAAGAAAGGCTTGCCTGAAAGCTTAGAAAGTTCAAATATTATGTATCATGTAAACTTGGATATGCCTCTTACTCTGTGTTCAGTTAGTACGTACTAATATGTTTGTGCATTTAGTAATGTTATCTGAATTTTGTTATTTTTTTTTGTGTGGAGCATTTCATTTTAAAAGATTACATTGTGTCTAAATTTACTAAATGCTTGACATTGAAATATGTTCTTTTGAAAACTGGAACTTAAATTTGAAACTAATACACTACTTTTGTTGTCAGTTTAGAGTTGATCAAGCACTAATTTTGATTCTTTTTTTTAAACAACTTAGAACACAGCCTATTTTCTGGACTGGATTTAAGATTTTTCTGGATGTGCACAAGTTTAAAATATTTCATTTTGCATACGATTTTGTAGGTTGGTGATCTGTAACAATATTCAAGGTTTAGTTAAATGAACTACCTGATCTCACCCAGTGTACAGTTAGGGGATTATCATTTGCCCTGCTGCCTGCAAACAGTTTTAAAAAAAAAAGGTTTCTGCTGCTGATTGTTTTGCATCAGCCCCTGCTGTTAAACCATACATGTACTCCAATGTTGAACATTATCGGGTTCAGTTAAATATTTTTAAGGCAGAGGAATATAGATTCTTGCATACCAAGGGAATGCACGATTATCAGGGCTATGCAGGAATGCAGAGTTGAAGTCAAAATATGAACAGCCGTGATCTTACTGAATGGTGGAATAGGTTCTAGGGGCCTACTGTTCCTCATTCATATTCATATATTCGTAACTATAACATTCTATGTGGTAAAACGTTAAGGTCAGATATCAGAGAGCTCTCCCTGACAAGAAACTACATTGGCAGCTGCAGGAAGGGCAAATGCTGTTGCTTAGATTATAGGTTCAGCAATAAATTACCAATAAAAAACTCTTTGTATTTATTTTTCAGGTTACATTAGTAGAAGAATCATTTTTAGACTTGTCACTTCCCGTTTTGGATGAGCAGGTAAAATGTGAATTATTTCATTGTATAAGTTTTTATTTTCTTTTCTTTGCTGTTCCGTTACCTTTGATTCCAAAGGCAATGCTTTTAAGTCCAGCAGTGCAACAGAACTCAAGCTGCATAACATCAGAAGTGATCATATTTCCCTATGTCTTAAAACTGATTCCTGCACAATATTGCTCAATGTGTGATGTTCTAAATGTTAAGATCACTGCCTAATGTATGATTATTTTTCAGTTGAGGTTTCCACAAAGGGACATTAAATAATTGAGCCATAAACAGGAGTGTCCATGTTGTGGTCCTAATGTGTGCTCTTAATTGCTCCCAGCCTGGATAGCCATATGGACCACTGTATCAGGTCTCAGGTTCATTAGTATTGTGGAACTAAAATCAACCAAGGTTCCCAATCCTGATCCAGCAACCACTGCTGGAACATATCTTGTTGTTGGGTTTTGTTCGTGAGGATGATTGGCATTGGCTCTGCTGTCTCCTGCAGTCAAAGATACATAAAAGCAGCCTTTTGAGTCAGTTCTGACATTTATTTAGGTCGTGTCTATTCTGCGTGTTAACTCCATTTACTTATCTTGGTTCTGTACTAATCAATACTGTTACCTAACAAAAACTAATGATGTCAATTTTGAAATTTTCAATTGCCTTCGTCTTTTGGGATTTTGGGACAAGAGAGTTCCAGATTTCCAAATTTTTCTGTGAAGAACTTCATGACATCACCCTGTGAATGTCTGAGCTCTAGTTCTAAAAGGTCATTGCTTTCCTTATGCTGGACAGCTCCACTGGAGAAAAGTTTTTCTCTACTCAATAAATGTCATTAGTCGTCTTAAACACTCATTTAGATCATTGCCCAATAGAAGACCTTGCCCATTTTTGTTGTCAAGAATCAAACATGATTAATGGTCACATAGTCAGTATAAGAAGGCATCTTGAGACCCTTGGTATTCCCTCCTGCAAAGGAATCAGTACTTTGTCTGCATATATTATGAAGTATCTAACGTGCACTCATGAATATAATTAATTGCCTCTGAAAAATGTCATTGCTTTTTCCAAGCATGATTGTTTATACACAGGAATCTGCTTGGCCTGTGTCATTAAATCTCTTGTTACATCATCCAGTAAAAATAGATACATCTCCATCTTGTTCATCTTTCTCCTAATGATGTGGTAAAACGCATGTGACCTGGTTTGTTTGATCCCTCCCACAGTGGAATTACCAGCAGAAACTGTTTATATATTTATCGTGGTGTTTAAATGCAGATTGATAAGAAAAAGTCTCTGGGAAAATCTGGAAGGAACATTATTGATGGGGATCAGAATGATAACCGTGGCGATTGTGATGGAAACTTTATTTCCAAGAACAGAGATGATGTCTCAACTGGCACTAGCAAGTACCAACAGAAGAAGGCAAAGAAACAGGCTAAAAAGCAGGCCAAGGTAAATCACATCTTGCTGAAATCTAAACAAATTTTATCATCAAATTCTCATTTAGAACCTTGGAAAGTTACAGCTTGGAAGGAGAAACTTTGGAGTTGGACTGCTGGATCTGGACTGATTCTTTGCTAGAAGAATACAAAATTAATAACAGTTATCTCAGATATAACACAGTGTGGAGCTGGAGGAACACAGCAGGCC